ATAGACATAGTTTACCTTATTCTATTAAAATATCACTATGTAACTCTCTAGTTCTTTCGCACTTTAACCATGCGGATGTAGTCTTCTCACCATGCATTGACAGCAATGATTTGGGTCGAATACAAAAAGTACAAAATTCCTGTATGCGTATGATCTTCGGTATCAAGAGGCCGCATTCTATATCTTATAAATTAAAGGAAATAGGATGGTTAAGCATGTATAATCGAAGGATTCTGCACTCACTCTGTCTATTTCATAAAATTTTAAAATTTAAAACCTCATCATATCTTTATGAGAAAATCACCTATAGAACAGATGTTCACAATCTTCAACTTAGAAATAAAAATACACTTAATATACCTAAACACTATAAGGAAATGTACAAAAGATCGTTCTCGTATCAAATATCTCACTTCGGCCACCTATTTGGTGAAACTGATGTTGCCCTTTCTATTAAATCATTTAAAAAGAAACATAAAAAAAGATTATTTAATAAACAACACTAAAAAATGTTTATCTTACTGGTTTAACTTTTGCTGTATCCCTTTCTGGCGAAAATGTTATACGTTTTTATTTTTTGTTCTTTATTGATTGTTATTATAATTTTCTGCAAATATTTTTAAAATATATTTTTTTTTTTTATATTAAAAAATCTTTGCAATATAATTACCCTTTCAGTTGTATATAAATATAATGCACTAGGTAGGTACTTAATGTCTAGTATTTGTCACTTTTATTTATTTATTTATTATATTTATTTTTTCTCTTCCTCTTTAATTACATTAGGACATGGATATAGGAATATAATTATATTTAATTTTGAATTTGTAGGTTATAGTGGAAGAATTGGACCTAACTATAACCTTTTATTTATCATCATTAATTGTTATAAAATTTTGTATTCCACATTTGTTTTATATGATAAATAATAAACTATTATTATTATTATTATTATTATTATTATTATTATTATTATTATTATTATTATTATTATTATTATTATTATTATTATTATTATTATTATTATTATTATTATTATTATTATTATTATTATTATTATTATTATTATTATTATTATTATTATTATTATTATTATTATTATTATTATTATTATTATTATTATTATTATTATTATTATTATTATTATTATTATTATTATTATTATTATTATTATTATTATTATTATTATTATTATTATTATTATTATTATTATTATTATTATTATTATTATTATTATTATTATTATTATTATTATTATTATTATTATTATTATTATTATTATTATTATTATTATTATTATTATTATTATTATTATTATTATTATTATTATTATTATTATTATTATTATTATTATTATTATTATTATTATTATTATTATTATTATTATTATTATTATTATTATTATTATTATTATTATTATTATTATTATTATTATTATTATTATTATTATTATTATTATTATTATTATTATTATTATTATTATTATTATTATTATTATTATTATTATTATTATTATTATTATTATTATTATTATTATTATTATTATTATTATTATTATTATTATTATTATTATTATTATTATTATTATTATTATTATTATTATTATTATTATTATTATTATTATTATTATTATTATTATTATTATTATTATTATTATTATTATTATTATTATTATTATTATTATTATTATTATTATTATTATTATTATTATTATTATTATTATTATTATTATTATTATTATTATTATTATTATTATTATTATTATTATTATTATTATTATTATTATTATTATTATTATTATTATTATTATTATTATTATTATTATTATTATTATTATTATTATTATTATTATTATTATTATTATTATTATTATTATTATTATTATTATTATTATTATTATTATTATTATTATTATTATTATTATTATTATTATTATTATTATTATTATTATTATTATTATTATTATTATTATTATTATTATTATTATTATTATTATTATTATTATTATTATTATTATTATTATTATTATTATTATTATTATTATTATTATTATTATTATTATTATTATTATTATTATTATTATTATTATTATTATTATTATTATTATTATTATTATTATTATTATTATTATTATTATTATTATTATTATTATTATTATTATTATTATTATTATTATTATTATTATTATTATTATTATTATTATTATTATTATTATTATTATTATTATTATTATTATTATTATTATTATTATTATTATTATTATTATTATTATTATTATTATTATTATTATTATTATTATTATTATTATTATTATTATTATTATTATTATTATTATTATTATTATTATTATTATTATTATTATTATTATTATTATTATTATTATTATTATTATTATTATTATTATTATTATTATTATTATTATTATTATTATTATTATTATTATTATTATTATTATTATTATTATTATTATTATTATTATTATTATTATTATTATTATTATTATTATTATTATTATTATTATTATTATTATTATTATTATTATTATTATTATTATTATTATTATTATTATTATTATTATTATTATTATTATTATTATTATTATTATTATTATTATTATTATTATTATTATTATTATTATTATTATTATTATTATTATTATTATTATTATTATTATTATTATTATTATTATTATTATTATTATTATTATTATTATTATTATTATTATTATTATTATTATTATTATTATTATTATTATTATTATTATTATTATTATTATTATTATTATTATTATTATTATTATTATTATTATTATTATTATTATTATTATTATTATTATTATTATTATTATTATTATTATTATTATTATTATTATTATTATTATTATTATTATTATTATTATTATTATTATTATTATTATTATTATTATTATTATTATTATTATTATTATTATTATTATTATTATTATTATTATTATTATTATTATTATTATTATTATTATTATTATTATTATTATTATTATTATTATTATTATTATTATTATTATTATTATTATTATTATTATTATTATTATTATTATTATTATTATTATTATTATTATTATTATTATTATTATTATTATTATTATTATTATTATTATTATTATTATTATTATTATTATTATTATTATTATTATTATTATTATTATTATTATTATTATTATTATTATTATTATTATTATTATTATTATTATTATTATTATTATTATTATTATTATTATTATTATTATTATTATTATTATTATTATTATTATTATTATTATTATTATTATTATTATTATTATTATTATTATTATTATTATTATTATTATTATTATTATTATTATTATTATTATTATTATTATTATTATTATTATTATTATTATTATTATTATTATTATTATTATTATTATTATTATTATTATTATTATTATTATTATTATTATTATTATTATTATTATTATTATTATTATTATTATTATTATTATTATTATTATTATTATTATTATTATTATTATTATTATTATTATTATTATTATTATTATTATTATTATTATTATTATTATTATTATTATTATTATTATTATTATTATTATTATTATTATTATTATTATTATTATTATTATTATTATTATTATTATTATTATTATTATTATTATTATTATTATTATTATTATTATTATTATTATTATTATTATTATTATTATTATTATTATTATTATTATTATTATTATTATTATTATTATTATTATTATTATTATTATTATTATTATTATTATTATTATTATTATTATTATTATTATTATTATTATTATTATTATTATTATTATTATTATTATTATTATTATTATTATTATTATTATTATTATTATTATTATTATTATTATTATTATTATTATTATTATTATTATTATTATTATTATTATTATTATTATTATTATTATTATTATTATTATTATTATTATTATTATTATTATTATTATTATTATTATTATTATTATTATTATTATTATTATTATTATTATTATTATTATTATTATTATTATTATTATTATTATTATTATTATTATTATTATTATTATTATTATTATTATTATTATTATTATTATTATTATTATTATTATTATTATTATTATTATTATTATTATTATTATTATTATTATTATTATTATTATTATTATTATTATTATTATTATTATTATTATTATTATTATTATTATTATTATTATTATTATTATTATTATTATTATTATTATTATTATTATTATTATTATTATTATTATTATTATTATTATTATTATTATTATTATTATTATTATTATTATTATTATTATTATTATTATTATTATTATTATTATTATTATTATTATTATTATTATTATTATTATTATTATTATTATTATTATTATTATTATTATTATTATTATTATTATTATTATTATTATTATTATTATTATTATTATTATTATTATTATTATTATTATTATTATTATTATTATTATTATTATTATTATTATTATTATTATTATTATTATTATTATTATTATATGTGGCGTGATTGGCACTTCCATCGCAGCCCCATTTATAGATCATTGTGACGTTTTCCGAAGTATCTCTGAATATTTGTAAAATCACATCTTTTTGAACTTCGACGATTCTTCGAACAGTGTAGTCGACGAGACCATGCAATTTAACTTCGGCAGAAACATCTGTTACAGATATAGAAGCTTCATCATAGTAGCACTTCTTTTTAGCTTCTCGTAACATATCGTACGTAGGATATATGTTTGCGTGTCGACTTTTTGCACCTGACTGCATTAGTATATAAGAGTATTTCGTAAACCGTCCATCAACATAAAGAGCCAAAGCCTCGTTTGGTGTATAGGTCACTGCAGTTTTTACAGGACATGACCAAGTTTTCTTAATCTTAGCTGCCCTGGTTGGTGAAGCTGAAAATCTTTTAGAACTCGTGCAGCATTTCGTCTACTACATGTTGACACGAGTAGCGAGAATCAATTCTTCCTTACTATTTTGCTGTATGAGTGGCAACAATTTAGAAAGCTTTGAATGTTCACTCGAATCTACAAAGCTCTTTTTAGGTCGCCCAACTCCTGATGGACCAGCAAGTGCTTCTGCTGGTAGAGCTGCCTCTTTTTGTATTTGAGACTTGACGGTAGCGTCGAGCCATTCCTTATGACGATTTTCAAACAGGTCTCTATTGCGACTTGAACTTGCCCATTTTTCCGCTCTACATAGATTTTGAACAGTTTTTTTAACGTTCTTGTATTTTTCACTATTTTTATAAACGTGTCGTGCAATTTTCTCACAGATATAATTTAAAACGGCTGAGCTTCGATCAACAGCCCGATATTCATTACGCCATACTTCAAGTAGCTCCCTGTGCGTTATCGTCATCGTATCTAAAAAAAGTCGGTAAGAATGAGTTCGCAGACCTTCACACCTAATTTTTCGTAAATACCAGAAAATACGCCTAATAATACGATGATACAAAAATCATTACCGGGTCATGCGGATTTAAGTACTAAAAGACCCAACATAGTATTAAAAACAAAGATAAATGCAATATTTCGCATATAACTAAATTAAAATTCTTTTTTACCATGTCAGGTTTTTCAGAAAAACTGAACAAAAATATTTTAGTGAGTACTTACCACAAAGTTGCACATTCACCAAACAAAAATTGCAGGCGCCACTTACACTTCGAGAGAGATTGTCTTAAATACACGGCAGATTCGCAACTAAATAGCAACTACTGACAAGTTATACGTATCCGAATTTAACGAACTTTATCCTGGATAACAGTAAACTGGTCACATTATTTTGAATTTCAGTAGGTGCGCTGGTTATCAGAGACTAAATAAATAATGAAAAATTTGGAATATAAAGTAATTGCATTTTCTAATTTTTGGACACTAATTGTGCGATATTGCCCACTGTGAAACGCGACGGGGGTATAGATGCTGCATGTGACATACTTCGCAAGCCAGTAGTGGAAAGGCACTGTGTGGTAGATTTTACAATATTTGACAATTAGTTGTTGACAAAGAAACCGCAATAGTCACTTTCTTAGATATCGAAGGAGCTTTCAACAATGCCTCAACCAGGTCAATAACCAAGGCTCTAGAAGAGAGAAACGTCCCAGTTACAATATGCCAATGGATCACTGCCTGTCTAGAGAACAGGATTGTTTTATCCACTCTAGGAAAGGCAACGTTACAGGCAAAAGTTACACGGAGCTGCCTACAAGGAGGAATATTAACTCTAATGCTGTGGTCAGTTCTTGTGGATGACTTACTCAAAACATTGTCCAAAGAAGGCTACCAGTGCCTAGGATATGCAGACGACCTACGAATTATCGTCAGGGGGCGATTTGCAGGAACAGTCTCAGAGCAACCTCAAACAGCTCCAAACATAGTGAACAACTGGTGCAAAAAGGAACAATTGTCCATTAACAAAAAAAAACAACAGTTGTAACATTCACAAAAAACGGGTACTTACAGGTCTAAGATCACTAGTACTAAACAACATAGTTATCCTATTCGTCACAGAAGCCAAATACCTCGGAGTCATATTTGACCAAAGGCTGACATGGAATCAACATCTCAAAAAACTCACATACAAAGCTACAATAACTCTCATAAGTTGTAGAAGAATATGTGGGAAAAACTGGGGTTCAAACCCCAAAAAGACCATATGGTTACAAACAAGGGCGATAAGACCCATGATAACCTATGGCGCAGTGGCGTGGGTAACCAAAACTGCACAGGCAAGTGCAATAGGCCAACTCACTAGCATTCAGCGGCTTGCCTATCTAAGTGCTACTGGGGCCATGCGCACTACGCAGACTGCAGCAATGGAGGTATTATTAAATCTCACGCCACTGCACATTTTCACAAAAGGAGAAACCAGGTCAGCTATTAACAGGGTAATGCAGGGACAAAACCTAATAACCCAACTACATAGCGCCGACCACACAAGGCTATATCAGCAAGTTTAGGGATAATATGCTAGCTATGCCTACTGAAATTTTCAAATTTAAATACCAGCCCTAGAAATCTGGAAACAGGGACCTCCCGTACAGGCTGAACTCGTCTGGTACACAGACGGTTCAAAAACCAAGGAAGGAGCCGGTACTGGAATCTACGGACCCAAGTCGAAAACAACGATTTCGCTAAGTTTAGGAAAATATGCAACAGTGTTGCAGGTTAAACTAATAGCCATACAACACTGTTCAAGAGAAACATTAAATCAGCAAGTATCAGGCAAAACTATTGCCATATACTCTGATAGCCAAGTAGCTCTAAAGGCAATTCTCTCACCAGAAATCAAATTACGACTAATGTAAGACTGTCTAGAAGGCCTGGCAGAGCTAAGTAGTCACCCTAGCGTGGGTTCCAGACCATTAGGGATATCAGTACAACGAAAAGGCCGACGACGAATTAGACAAGCTAAACAGTTCATCAAGTAACCATCGACCAAGTTCAAGAAAGACCTACAAGATCAAAAGCGTCAAATCGTTAGGATAACAGTAGGCCTTCTTACTAGACACTGTCGCCTCAAAAGGCACATGAGTATCATCAATCCAGCAGGAGAAGAAACTTTGTACAGGTTCTGTCAAGAAGAAGAGAAAACATCATTCCACGTCCTGTGCTAATGTGAATGCCTGGCTGGAATGAATTTTCTAACATTGGGCGAAAAAGAGCAAAATTCATGCAACTACATGCGGGAGCCACTGTCAAAGCTACATTTAAAAAAAGATGATTAAATTACAAACCTCTTCTCCTTGCAGGAGTTCTTGGTTACGAAAATAAATAAAAGATAGTGAATCACATTAAAAAATTAGGCTTGACTGGCTTTGCACGAGATAAAAGTACAATTAAAGCAATGGCGTTTGTTTAAGTCGAAACACTTGGTATCAAGCACACCTTTGCCACAGAAAAAGCAAAAGCTGGGTTGCATTGGTTTAGATCTTTTATGGACAGAAATCCAGATTTGTTAATAAGACAATCAGAGGGTTTATCCTTAGCAAAGGCACGAGGAATTGGCTCTATAGTTATTGGGTGCTCAAAACTTGTTTTTAATTGAGTAAAATCTCCAAAATCTACCCCCAAATATTCACACATTCATATATTTGCTTGTAGGCTATCAAATATAAATGAAATGACAATTACCTCTGTCTCATGAATATATTTTAAAAGTTATTTAATTATAGTAGATTTTTCAAATCATTTAAACTATCAATAAAAAAGTATCCAACTGAAATCTTCCAATGCCAATTTAAGCACACTACCATGAATACAATAGCTTCTTTTGCTGCTGCTCCTTGAAATAAATCTACGCTGTAGCATTGCCAAAAGGACCTTTAGGTGGACAAAAACCTTAGAGCATAGACCAAAAAAAGACAGACAGATAGACAGACAGACCTAAAGACAGACAGACAAAAGGACAGACAGATGAAAGGAGGAGGCAAATATATGCTCGTAGACCACATACTTTGATTTTAAAAGTATGTGTCGTAGACAGATAAAATCATAGAAATTCGCATAGTTTCAACCGCCATCACATCGAGTAGAGCGTTGTCAACAATGCGATGCATTTGTTAAAATGATAGGAAGAGGTAGCCAAAAAGACCACGGTTTCACTTTAAAAATAAGCTAAGTGACAGGTATAAATCGCATCAGTGTTGTTCGTTTTCGTTTATTGACGTATCGTCATTGCCGATATAATTAACTTGTTAATAAAATACTTTTCATTCATTGTCGTACGTCCTCGTTAGTTATCGTTGTTGTCGGGAGAATCTTCATTCGTTATTAAAAGAAAACAAAAATTAATAATAAGAAATAAAAACTAAGTCTATGAAGGTTTAGTTTAGTTTTTTTTTGTGTTCAGAGTACCTGTTATTGTTCAATGTTTATTAAATAAAAAAAATTAGTAATTTGTGCTCACCCACAGTAAACATAACTAGACGTTAGAGTATTTAAAAAAAAATGTATCCACTAAAGTAATATAATTACAAGGCGTAAACCGCTTATTGTCGTCATTTAATCAAATAGCAACACTTAGTTAATAAACATGTTAATAAAAAAAATTAGGTAGTTAAAAATATAACTTCTTTCGAATATACAAAAAAAATATACATTTTTTACCTCCTGTAAAATTTTGACTTTGTGGGATACGTCTTTTATAAAAACTCTAATACTATAATATAGTTAAAAAATAAAAATATAAACGGAAAAATCCGCCGACGGTCGAACGGGCTATTTTTTTTTTTTTTTAACGATTTTAGACCTTCTGAAACACATTTCAAAATACTTTTTTTGCCCTGCAAACGCTATAAAATATTTTTTTCTTACCTTAAAACTATTAAAATGTGTCCTCCAATTTCGATGTTGAAAAAATTTGAACTACATCATTTTGATTAATTTCTCGTTATAGAAACTGCTAAATAATAACACTAGATCATCCATAATGCCATAAACCATCCAAATTTTTTCATAAACAGTATTATTTTCTTAATTTATGACAAAGTTATATTTCGTCAAAATGATCAAAATTTCATAACCGCAATGACAATTGACTTCGGCAGTGTGACATGTGTCTAAAAGAAATACAATGTTGCCATATCAATTATGTATTACATAGCAATGGTAATTTTTACCTATGCCCTGCGTTGTACCAGGCCAACCAATTGACTTCGGTATCAGAAAAATTATATAAAACTAACAATTTAAAAAATACCCATATCAAGATCTTCTTCCTCACTCTCATCGGCAGAATACTCTTCGACGTCAATATTGATATTTTCTAAATTGCAAGGATTATACAATTTTCCCGCCAGTTTTAAAAACTCTTCAACTCGACAAGTATTGTCTAGTTGACAGCGTTTATAAAACATATACCTAGCCAAATTACCTGGTATGTGTGCCTTTTTTCGTCCATTTGACATTGTAACGGCCTTCGCATGTCTCCATGAAGACTCAATAGCATTGGTATGGCAGCCGGTTTCGGGATCTTTAGACGTGATTGAGTGATTCACAGTAAGGTGGTTATATCCACGATCACCGAGAGAACTGTATGCTTTCCAACAATCAGAGTAGATAGTGGTACCCTTTTCAATCCATTTTTCAATGAGAGGGATAAGAGTATCACTATCTCTTTTTTCCGCGGCAACCATGAATACCCTACCAGTTCCTCTTTCAAAACCTCCAAAAACCCACTGTCCTTCGACATGATGGCCTCGATTATATTTACGTTTTCCGAATTTTGATTCGTCTATCTCGACAATCATGCCGGGCCCACCAAGTTTTTGAGGATTTTGCAAACAGGATTGTAAAACCACCTCCCTGCAAAAACTCGCCCAATCAACAACAGTTGACTTGTTGATTTTAAGTTCAATCCC